GGTGTTGGCTGGGGCCTTGGGGCCAAGGGCCAGCAGCAGCAGCAGCAGCAGCAGCACGTCGTCATGCCAGGCGACCAGGCCGCCACCAGCAGTGGCCCCTTGCCGCACCCCCCGTCGAAGCCAGGCGCCGAGGCGGGCGAACCGCAGCAGCAGCGGCAGCAGCAGCAGCAGCTGCAGCAGCTGCAGCAGCAGCAGCAGCAGCAGCAGCAGCAGCAGCAGCAGCAGCAGCAGCAGCAGTAATAGCAGCAGCGGCGGCGACAGCAGCAGCAGGTGCCGCCGCGGCGGGGCGCCGAGGTGGATTGAGCGGCACGGCCGGGGCGTGCGCACTCCACCTATATTGCCGACCGGGGCGTGCGCCGCGACCTCTCTGCCAGGCCACTTTTTTCTTCTGGCCGGATGCGTGCTCGCCGGCGAAGGCCGCTTCACATGCGAAGGCCGCGGCGAGGGGGAGGGGGAATGCCGGGCCCTCCACCAGGCACCTGCCTAGGCCGCACCCGGCGGCCGCGCCCGCGGCGCCCGGCCCTGCCGCCTTCTGGCCCGCGAACCGGTCGCCAAACGGGGAAACTCACGAGCAAAACGAGGAGGTGGTCCAATCGCGCGCAGCCGGCTCTTGGGCAGCGGCGAATCAGGAAAGGCACTCAACGCACTGGCAAACGCACGGGGGGAAAGGGCGGCTTGGTCGGCCGGCGCGGGGCGACGCGGCCAGCACTGACATTGACTGGATTGGGCGGGGCCGTGCGGAGGGGCGCCGGCGCGGCGCGCACTTCGGCCGGAAGATTCCGGGCTCGGGTGCGCACGCGCAAGCCCCGCACCCCACCGCCCCGCCTGCTCTTTATCCGGGGGCGCCGACGCCGCCGGCGGCCCCGCGGGGCGGCGCCCGGCGGTTTTGCTGCCGCCCCGCGCGCGCGCATGGGGCGCATGACAGGTGATCCTGTGCTTTTTCACTACCAACGTACCCACTTGACTAGGGCGATTCCCGCCCCCACGGGCAAACCAATGGAACGCCAGGAAGCCGCGGGCCGCCCCGGCCGCCCTAACCGCGCGCCCAAACCGCGCCCCGACACGCGGTCGCGCCCCGGCCCGCGGGCGGCCTTCGTTGTTTCTAATTCTTGATCCCAGGCCGCCCCCTGCGTTGCCGTGCGGCGCACGCACCTGCACCCGAGGCCGGCCGCCTGCACGGCGCCCACGGGTCGCGAGGGGCGCGGACGCGCGCCCGCTTCGCCGTTTCGCCTCTCCGCCCGCCTCCGCACGCACATGCCAGCGGCTGCGGAGGCGCGAAATCCGCAAAGAGGCGTGAGGACGACGAGCGGCACTTCAATTGTTCGCCCAAACGTTGCACGTCGCACCCAACACGAGCGGCGCGACGCACACACCCAAACCGTTCCGCTCCGTTCATATGGCTCCATGCCCGTTTGCCGCCCCCGGCACTCTGTTTCAATGGTGCGGGGATCTGCACCTTGGCACGCCCCCCGCTTGCGCGGTGCCGCAGACCCCCCAGGCCTGTGGAGGGCCGGCGGCGGCCGCTGCTCCTGGCGCGTTTTGAGTGTGAGCCGCCGGCACCCTTTTTTGTTGCACAGCCGGCGCCTTTTTTCCTTTGTGGTTGTCAAATGTAAAGCTGCTTCACCGGTGCTTGGCTGGCTGCGGTTTCTCTCTGTTGCAGAAGAACCCGAACACAACAGGGCGCCGTCAGCTCTGTGCAGGATGGAGCAAGGCTCTGAAAATTCGAGCATGCTGGTGTGGCGTCAGCTCGCGAGGCGGCGCCCGGCGCAGCCCCAAGCAACCCTACCGCTGTGTGCGGCCCTGCGCACGCATCGCAGCAAGCGCCGGCCGTGCAAGCTCACACCCACCGCCCGCGAAAGCACCACAGCCGCGCGGCTGGCTGGGGCGCCGCCAGGCGCCAGGTGCATAGCGGCCGGTGGGGGTTCGAAACTCGCTGGCTGCCAAGCAACCAGCAGTGCCCTGGTCTAGCGGCCAGCCTCGGCTGCACAACTGTCGGCTTGCCGAACAAGTAAAGGGTGAGCTCTGCGCGTGGTCACGCAGTCAGTGACAGAGAACCTTGCTCACGTGTTGCATCAATTGGGTTCTCAACTTGTCCACAGCCTCCAATGCCCTCGCAGAGGCGGCCCACCTCACTTTTGCGGCTCGCACACGCCACACGTGCAAAGCAACTGGATCCACGCGGCGCCGTCCCGCGCATCATCATGCCGCTTTGCCCGGCCACCATATCGCCGCACACCCGGGTGTCACGCAGCCACCGGCCACCAGCCCCTGCCAGGCCGCGTGGCTGCGGCCCAGCACCCCCAGTGTGAAGTTTCTCCCCAGGAAGCGGCCGTTGGGGCGCGTGGAGGGGCGGCCGTCCGGCCCGAGGATGGGTCCTTGGTAGAAGGAGGCGGAGGGGCGGCCCTCCGCGCCTTTGTAGTCCCTGTAAAAGGTGTATATGGTCTTGAGGGTGGCCTGCCGGGGGCGCGGGTGAGGGGCAGGGCTTGTGGGGGACCGCACCGGCACTGAATTGTTTTATGGACTAGGCAATCGACCTGGATGCCAGCGCGCCTTGGGGCTTCATTCCAGGAAAACTTGCCCCACAGAGGTTTCAGGCATGCACGCTTCAGGCCGCCCCGAGTCAGCCTGGCATCGAAAGCGACCGCGGCCGCGCAGCCGTCCTGCCGTGCTGCGCTATGAGAATCGCCACTGCGTGGCCACGCCTGCCGAGCCTGGCGCCGTCGCTGGGCGGCGCGGCAGCGCGCGGCATCATCACCTGTGGGACCTGGGAGATGTCGTCCAGCTGGGCAGCCCGGGGGTCACGCGTATTGATTACGAGCACCTGGCGGCCGGCACAGCGAGTGTTGGATTGCATAGATTGATTTGCAAGCCGGTCGCAGCTGTGCGGCTCTGGCGGGCTGGATGGGGAGCTGGCTGCAGCGACCAGCTGGGCCGGCGGCGCGCAGACACACACACAAATGGAGGTGTGGCGATGCAGGATGGGAGAGCGGGAGGCCATGAAAAGGCGGAGGTGCGCCGCAAGAAACAGGGCGCGCACCTTGTAGTCCGTTTCGTTGCGGTCTATCAGCGGGACCACGCCCAGCACCTGGCGCACAGGCCGGGGGAATGAGTATTACAGCCACACTTCGGCTCGCCTCCCGCAGTGTGTACCCCGCATCACTGGCAGTTGCCCGCCCAAGCGCGTTTTGCTAGGTGGGGGCCTAGCGTGACTTGAAGGGTCCTTGGCATGACGTAACCTCCTCCGATGTGCTGTTCACACTGATAAAACCCAACCAGCCCCTGGGGCTCACACCTTGACCCGGTAGACGCCTCCAATCGGCGCCCTCGCCTCCCCGATGTCCTGTAGGGGTTTCAGATTGAGAGACGACAAGTAGTTCCGGTCTCGTGGCAGCTATGACTTGTAGCCGCGCGTACGCTGTCCTGTGCTGGATGCCGGCCCAGTCTCGTGAACACGCCAGGGAGGCAGGGCAGGCTGTTTGCCGGCGGCCACTAGTGGCCGGCAAGGCGTGCCCCACCGGCGGTCCGCCGCCGCGCACAGATGAAGGTGCATGCGCGCCTCCCAGAAGCAACGGGTTGATAAGACACCACACCCCCAGCCCCACCAGCACGTCCAGCGGCTCGTCATCCCCCAGCAGCCCCATGGCCGCGTCCGACTGGCTGCCGTTCTCCCACGTTTGGGGGACGATCCCATAGTTGCCGGGGGGCGCAAAGGCGTAATACCTGCACGCGTTGTCCCGCAGACGAAAGTGCATGGCAAGTAATCCCGGCCGCGGGTAAGCGGCGTGCGCTGCCCAGCTGCACAGGCGCAGTGGCGCATGCGGTCTGTGGCATACAGCCATTCAACGCGGACCAAGCGCCACGCCTGGGCGGGCTTGTGTAGTCTGCTGACGTGGCGTCTGGACGCGCACCGGGGCGCCTGCGTCACGACCCCGCTGGCGTTCTTGATGTTGACGTCCTCTTGGATGGGGTTCCAGGGGATCTGCTCCTGCAGGGTTTAGGGGTCAGGCGGGGGGGCGCGTGGCGGGGCAGCTGCGTCATGCGGGGCGCGAACAGTCTGCATGAGTTGTACCAATCAACGGGGAACTCGGGACGGGTGGCAGCCGGCCGGGTGGATTTGGCAAGCACCCTCACGAGTGTCTGAGCACCCCCTCAGGGCTCAAGCAGAGGGGAAGTCAGCAGATGTTGGGATACTGCGAGGTGGTTGCTCTGCAGGCCTGCTTGCGGCGGGTCGCAGGCAGTAGCAATCCCACACGCGCGTGGCCGGGTCGTGTATCAGGTCAGGCGCGAGACCTGATCCCACGCGCGCCTGACCTGATACACAATCGGTTACAAAGCCTGCGCACCCCCACCTTGACCTCGTACTTGGCCCGCTCATCTCTAGGGATGAGGGCCACCATCCATACTGTGCTGCTGGCGTTTGCGGCCGCCGCATCGTTGGCGCCCGCAACGGGGTCTAGGCCGAGTGGCACATCATGCCATGCGGACAGGTTCCGTCCGGCGGAGTTTACCAATTGGATGCTGCGGGCAGTGGAGGAAGCGGGGCCCGGAGGTGCGTGCCACTTTTATCCGAATGCGCTGCACAGGAGCATGGCGCGGCACGTGCGGCATTCGCTTCAGCTCACAGCACCAGCTGAGAGTACATACGTTGGGGCCGCCTCCTGGACACACGCCTAGCCGACGCGGCTCCACAAAAGCACATGGTGTAGACAAGGGAAGTGGTCAGGAGCATCCTACAATTCTTTATCCTCACTTGAAGCTGAGCGTGCCAGGCTTGCCGGAGGCCACAGTGGTGTAACCGGGCCAAAAATCGAAGGAGGCGGCGTCAGCGGCAGCGACGGGGGCGTCAAAGACCCGGCTGAGCGGCGAGGGCTGCGCGGGAGCGGACGAGGGCTGTGGAGGCGGCGCTTCAGGCGCTGCCTGCTTCAGGCTGCGCAGAGAGGTGCATAGGGTGCTGGGCAGAGGCAGCACGTACAGGGTCGCTAGCGTAGCAAGGCGCAAGAGCAGGGGTCCACCGGCGCGGCGGCGCCTCTGCATCGTTCCCGCAAGAAAGGCACTAGAGGTTCAGAGTCTAGGAATCCCAAAGCTGCTTTACAACAGCTTTCCGAAAGCATAATACCGCACCTTGACGAGGAATACAACAGAACCGTCATCGGTTGAGTTCGCTCGGATCCCCGCTTAGCTCGCTCCCTTGCAGGGCAGCAACAGAGATGATCAGTATACTCATTGCAGTCTTGTCACCTGTCGAGGTTGCTTGCGAGAGCTCCCAACGGCAGTGTCACGCTGGCGTGATGTTTGCCGACAGCGTGTTTGCCTGTGCACTGTGCTGCGCTCGGCCTGGACGAGCGCTCTCGCAGTGAACACCTGACATGCACCCAAGATCCTACTCCACACAGCATGCGCATCTTTGTTGCGGCGGCGATGCAGGCGTAGTCACCACATGGCTGCAGCAGCTGCTGTGCAGCGCTGTGGCTTCCTGCACCGCCTGCACACAGATGCAGCAGGAGCAGGGGCACAACGCACAACCCCAGGATGTCGCCGGCGCTGTCAGCAGCACGCACCAGCAGCATGCGCGGCAGCGGTAGATGCTCTTGTGATGATTGCAGCAGCAGCTGTTTGCATCGCACAAGCTGGCTGATGCGACTGCGCCACCACTGGCAGCAAGTCGCGCCACCAACAGCCCTGGCAGCACACAGCTCTGGGACGGCGGTGGGGCACTCTCCTGCAGCATACACGCAGCGTGGGGCTGCGCTTGAGCGACAGGTCGCCCGCAGTGCGCCGTCACTCTCGCCCTGCCTCCTGGAGACCCCCACAGAACCAAGGGCGCAGGCTGCGCACAGAAGCCTTAAGCGGCAGCACGGGCCCCGTCAGGAAAGCAGCCTCACATCTGCAGCGTACCGCCTGCAAGGAGCCTGCCCGTCTCCGCATGGAAATGCAAAGTCGCACTTGCCCATGCGCGCGCAAGCACCTGGCTAATCTGTGCCGCCTGTTGCTTTTCTCGTTTTTGCAGGCCACCGACAGCCCGCCCGGGCACTCCCTTGCAACATGTCTAGCTGGGCCCAAACAAAACGTAGGCCCTACGAGGCGTAGCAATTGCATTACACGAAAACGAACATTTTAGCCAAGACACGCGAACATGGATGAGCCCTCAAGCCGCAGCCGCGTAAAGCTCACGCTGCGGGCGGCGCGCGCGCAGCGGGGCGCATAGGGAGGGGGTGCTGCTGCCGGGTTGCGGCGCCGAGTCAGGCGGCGGCCACCACAGGGCGCGACTCGTACAGCTGCGGCTTGGCGATGATCGCGTCGATCAGGCCGTACTGGGGGCGGCGAGGAAGAGGGGAGGGGGGTGCAGGCCAAGGGTGAGCGGCGGGATTCAACAAGAAAGTGAGGGATAGACGGGGTCCCTTGCCTGGCCAAGTATGAGTGCGCGGAAGCTGCGCCTAAATCTGCCCGCAGCAGGTCAGGCTCGCTAGAGCCGCGACAGCCGAGGCGATGATGGCACAAGGGAGCATTGCTCCAGCCCGAGAGGCGCGGTGTGCGCCCCCTTATCGGCAGCATACACGCATGCAAACACACACACACACACACACACAACACACACACACACACTCTCTCTCTTACACACACAACACCCCGTACACACACGCACCCAGACAAGCACCCCCCACCCCAACACACACAAGCTCTCACCTCGATGGCCTCCTGTGGGCTCATAAAGAAGTCGCGGTCCGTGTCCTTGGTGATGGTCTCCATGGACTGCCCGCAGAACTGGGCCTGGGGGGTGCACACGCGGTTTGATGGGGCGCAGGAGGGGCGCGCAGCGAGGTTGGGGACCGCACTCGCGCCTGCTCGATCGCGTGCACCGGAATCGCTTTTTCAGGTGCGGCGGGCGCCGTGAGATCTTCCCGCGCTGCCCTCGTCGGCACGCTTGCCCCGCGAAGGGGTTGGTGGGGTGTTTCGTCTGGGGGCGTGGAAGCTCACCAGGTAGCCGTTGAGGGTGAGCTTGTGGTGCAGGATCTCGTTGGCCTGGATCTCAATATCGGTCGCCTTCGCGGGAGATCAATGGGTGAAGCATTGCATGTGAGCTGGTGCAGCACACAGGGTCCACGCCAGGCATAACGACAGGCAAGCGCGATGAGAGAACGAGCAGAGTGGATGGTGTGCTGCCCCATCCAGCTTTGCGTGCCCACAAACCCCAACCACTCGCGCCCCCCTCAAGCCCGCTGCCGCCCCTGCATGCCGGTCCTCCTCTCACCTGCCCCTGCGCCCCTCCGAGCGGCTGGTGGATCATGATGCGGCTGTTGGGCAGCGAGTAGCGCTTGCCCTGCTGCCCGCTGGCCAGCAGGAAGGCGCCCATGGAGGCCGCCATGCCGATGCACACGGTGCTGACGTCGGGCCGGATGTGGCGCATCGTGTCAAACACGGCCATGCCTTGGGGGCGGGGTGTGTGTTGGGGTGTACAGGGGGTGGCGAGGCGTGGGTTTGGGGGTTGTCGGACCATGCCTGCCGCGAACATGCCTGCTGCACCGGCTGCAGCATCCAAGTGCCGGCCTCCTTCAGCCGCTGTGCGAACGCCAGCGAACCCTTGCGCCTCTCCAATACAACCTTCTCACCACCGGCGCGCCCCCCCCCTCCTTGCCCCCTGTCCCTAAACCGCCAGACAGACCGTCCGCTGCGGCCGCCCGCGCTTGCACCCGCGCCCACACCCGCGCCCAACTGCCCGCCCGACTGCCATGCGCCACCACCCACCCGCGGTGACGGAGCCTCCTGGGCTGTTGACGTACATGGTGATGTCACGCGTCTGGTCAACTGAGTCCAGGTACAGCAGCTGCGCGACGATCAGGTTGGCCATGTCGTCGTCCACCGGGCCCCCCATCCGCACGATGCGCTGCTGGAACAGGGAGGACACCACGTTCTGGAAGCGCTCCACGACGAGGGGGTTGGGGGGCGGGGGGCCCTGGCCGCAGATCACAGGGGGGCGCGTCTCCTGGAAGCGCATGTC